GAATAGTAGAACATGGGAGGTGTTCAAAGATATGGGCCCGAAGGAGTCATGAATAAGCTTTGCAGCTGTTTATACGGTGTAGAGAATAAGTATCTATGGACCCCAGGATTAAGGGCCCATATTGCTGGCCCATGTTTCAACCTGAAAACTACAGCATCTTCAGGGCCATGCAGGATTGTTAGTATCAAGCATAGTTATTTGGTACAATAAATTCAGAGGGATTAATACAGTACATTATCCCTATAATTCCTATATATTCCCTATATGACCCCTATATAACTCCAATATAAGAATATGGTAGAACGGGGATCCCACAAGGGACCATACTTTAGAACGACCTCCGCAGGAAGCGCAGGGCCATCGAAGGTGCACTTAATGAGGCTTTAGTTTCGACCTGTGGGTAGTAGTGGTAAGACTGATAATCGTAAGAATAGTAATAATAACAATAGTAATAATGATAATAATGGTAGTAATATATTTCAAGTATCTCTTTCTCAGTATTCTAGCAGGACTTGCAATGGGCAGTCAGCGTCTGAGGCAGAGCAACGATGGAGAAGTTGCATCATTGGCAAATGCTGTTGATGCACCACATGACGCACCCGCCTACATTGATATGTGATCCTTTGAATAGCTCAGCAAATGTGACCTGACGAGCAGCTGCGGGTTCGTGAGGGTGAGTTTCAACCGGAACAGATAGTACCAGAGCAGAATTTAAGGCGTGCTTTTTGACCCTTTCCAGACCCCTGCTTATGATCCTGAGCAAGGGCTCTTGTAGAAACATTTGAGTCTACATGAATGGGCACAATGATACTTCTTGCCGTCATTTTGTGAGAGTTTTTGATCACGTAACAAAGTGGGCTTGCAGCCAGGGCTGCAGATCTGTATGTTTGCGATTCCTTGGTTGCTTCTATGGGGTCCTTGCAGGGTTGTAGGGACCGTCCTGCTGTTGGAAAGAGACCTGGCGGTCTCCACATGTGGCCGTATTGTTTGGCACACAGAGGACATTGGGGATAATGGAAAAGAAAATGGAAACTACTATATAGGGCTATATTAGGGCTATATTGGGTGTATACTGGGATAATGGAAAAGAAAATGGAAACTACTATATAGGGTTATATTAGGGCTATATGGGGTCTATATTGGGATGATGGAAAATAAAATGGAAACTGCTATATTCAAGTTGTAAGTTCCGAGGTCCTTAAGCACACTTTTGGTGGCTGGCTTGTACAAGCGGTCGGTTACTGCTGATCACGGCTGGTTTCAAGGCCTTCCTGTACAGCTTGCAGATATCACTTGCCAGGCTGATCCGCCGGATGAGGATCCAGGCGTAAAGGGCACAAGTCCAAGAAAAGATTGAAGCTCGACCCACACTAATTCTACAAGTTGTGGCCGGCACCAACCAAGAGCATCCGCAAGTGCGTTGTGCCCACCTTGTACTGGCGTCCAGCCATCTAGTGCTCAATTGGTTATTGATTGGTGCTCGCGTTCCTTGTGTGAGCTCTCTGGCAAGGCATTAGGCTTGTCTGTTTCTGGGCTAGCGGCCACACGCTGCGGCTGAGTTGTGACACTAAACTTGCTGAAGCTGAGGTCGCGAAATTGGAGCCGGATGTGTCTTGGTGCCTTTTTCCATGGCATCTACGCCATTGCGCGCAATGGCCTGTGGGATGATCCCGCAGAGGCAGTGACAGGCAGCATCTACAAACGATTTCAGAAGGTGGTGGAGAGAAGCAACCTCAAAGAGGCCGCTGCGGTGCATATCGGCAACGTGTAGTTGGTAGACCCCAAGGTTGAAGGGTCCAAGCACCCAGATATTGGGGTCTTAGGTAAAAGGAAGCCTGATTATTGGGGTACTTGGGCCCTCAGGGTAAGGTCTGAGGAGGCATTGCCCTGCAAAAAAAAAAAATGACCCATGAGATACAAAATTGATGGCTGTAGCGAGCCTGCTACTAGAAGGTTTTGGTCCAAACATGGGGACCCCAGTATAGACCACAAACTGCGGACCCCCAATAAGGTACCCCCGATTTTGGGGAAACCCCCATATGTGAATTGGGCGCATGCTCTTTGATAAGGATGCGGCAATCTATCTCACCTGGCGTTTCAGCTACCTGATCTGCCACACAGTCTTCGCAATCATCTGGGGAGTTGCCTCAATTCGGAGTTGGATTCCAGAAAGGGCATCCTACGACCAAATGATTGCGCAGTTTCCTAGCACGATCCAAGCCAGCCGTTTTGAGACATTCGTTACCCTGGTATCTTGGTGGGAGCCCTTTCTGAAATACGTGTGGGCCACGTCGTTCCTTCTCGTTCTCTGCGCTGTTGTCCTCGCGTCGCCTGCACTTGCTGTTCGGCACGCCACCTTGTCACGAAGACTGGTTTGGTTTTCCTGGGTTTGGAACTTCGTGACGCCTTTCAAAATCCTGATGGTATTTCCGATCCGCTCCACCATAGACTGGCCTGGCGTCCAGGAGGATTCTGGGTTGCTGCTTGAAAACTTAGATTAAATTACGTAATATAATGAGGAAACCGTATTATATACCATATTCCCTTCTTTTGGTAACGTAATTCCCTAAACCCCAAACCCTAGTCCTTAGACCCCAAACCCTAATCCCCAAACTCTAAACCCTATATATATATATATATATTATGTAATTTAAGTGCTGTTCATGGCAGCTATATACCCATATTATGGTAACTTAATATTCCCTAAACCCTAATCCCCAAACCCTATATACCCAGTGGTAACGTTCATGAAGTTTCTTAACAGCAACCCAGATGCCTTAACCCTAAATAGTAGTTTCCAGCTTCTTTTCCATTATCCCTCTTGTTATCCCTCAGTTAATATAAGTTCCTTAACAGCGACCCACTAAACCCTAATTAATCCCTAACCCCCTAAGCCCTATATCCCTAAACCCTATAATCTCCAAAGCCTAAATCCCAAACCCTAAACCATCCAAAAAAAAAAACTAAACCCCAGGATTTGTGTGTCACGGTCGTGTCCCGCGCGCTGCGATCTCCTGGGATCGACATAAGCTCGGCCCTGGCCAGCCTTCAGGAAAGGCTTTCCCCAAATTAGAGGTACCTCTTAAAGTGGAGATACTATAGGGGTCATATAGGGCTTTTGCAATAGTTAGGGGTTTGGGGTTTACGATTTAGGGATGAGCATTTAGGGTTTAGGGTAGTTTAGGGACTAGGGTTCAAGGTTTAGAGATTAGGGTTTGAGGATTAGGGCTTAGGGTTTCCCAAAATTAGGGGTGCCCTTTTGGGGATTCCTATAATAAGGATTCTAGTTACTACAGTCTTTATTAGAGGAACCCCCAGAATACTATGATATAGAATTTCGGGGCCTATATATTGGGGTCCCCCAAGTTGTATGGCAACTACAGTACCAGGAGCAGAATCTTCAGGGCCAGTCTGCGCTGCAATCACTGCAGACTGCTGTGCAAGAGCAGTCTTCCCAGGACACTGAACTGGGTTGTTGTTGAGAAACTTACTCTAATTTAATTACAATAATATGGATATGTGGGTTTAGCTCACTTGAGTTGCTATAATAAGGAAACCCTATTATTCACTTTATACCTATACCCATTTTATGGGACCTTAACTTAAGTTCTATTCCAAGGTACCCCACTAATCATTAAGTAGTTTGAGCCTCGGCGCTCGCCAGGATGTGACGATCAACGATTTACCTGTACGGACGTGGTGTCAACAGCAGGGCTCGAACTGGCATAACGTCTTCTGCGCCGAAGTAATGCGTTGTGTGATCACAGCCGACCAGCGATGCCGAGAACAGGTTTGTGCCGGAGCTCCTGCGTCGGAGCAAAACATGTGTCAGACGCGCTGTCTGGAGTATGCTCCGAGCTCCCAACGGCCGGAGGCCGTAGCCTTTACCAACTCCATGGCCACGGAGTGTGCTGAATTTCAGAGCAACGGGTGGGGAGGCTCCACGCCGAACCGCACAACGCCGAACAGCACAACAGGCTTCCCAGACGGTTTGAATCTTCCGAGCGAGTGTGCGGAGGTGGCGACCCAGCAGATGCAGATGTTCAATATGCTGACACAGCAGCAGCAGGAAAGCTCCGAAGAACAGTGTTCCTATGCCACACTGGCTGTGAACAATGTCGACTTTATCGCTGGTACCTTGCCGGATTGATTTGCCACCTCATCACCATCATCACCACCTTCATCAGCATCATCATCGCCATCACCACTATTGTGCTGATGTTCTTTTGCACTACCGCAAGCATCACCATAGCCAAACCATAGCAATAGCACATGGAGGAGTTTGAGGAGGAGGGAGACACAGGTTAAGCAGCCGGCTAGGGGTAGGAAAAGTACTGGAAGACATGCTAGAACTGCTGTTTGAGCGTTCGTCTTGTGACGCCAAAGTATGTGGGAGACCGTGAACGTCATGACTTCAAGATATGAGCCAACAGCGAAAGTTATGATTTTTTGCTGGCATGTGCCAGCCAAACTTGGTTCCAGAAAGTGGGGTTCTAAAACATGGTGAGAGTGCATCCAAGTCAGTGTCCTTTCCTGAACCCACAAACTCAGCCACCTTCAACACTTCCCGAACTACTTTGTTACTTGTCTTCAGCCCTGAAGTCTCTGTTACTTGACCATGCGCCTGTAGTTTGCAGTCTCAACCTCCGCCAAGGCATTCTCGTGGGAGCGCAGGCAAGACATTTGCCATGACAACCGATTGACATGTTCTGGAACCCGAGATGCGAAAGTCTCCTCACGGCTGTAGTAATAGTATGCGTCAAGCACTTTTGCCCCCCAGACCCTCGCAGAAAGGTTGGATCCCCAAGATGATGGGATCCTTGATGATCCTTGAAGAATGGTAGGAAGAAAAGTTGACTACAACTCTGTCCAGATTACTTCCATGATATCATGCAGTCCTCAAACAAAACCCATACAAACCTGCAAGGACGCTATACATAAGGTCAACTTGCCAGAAACACCGGGGTGTGGCGCAGGCGCCTTAACAGTTACAATAACTTTTAGGTAGCTCATGTGACATGTTAGGAGTCATGGCTGAACAAGCCCATACATAGCCCACTTTGCCGATGTGCCTCCATGTGTAGGCTTACGCCCTTAATCCTGGAAACCCTAGCCCTTTATTACCTCTGGTTAGCAAGGAATGAAAGAATGGATCCCTATTGTCGTCCTTGTATCATCCCCATACCAGGCAGTCTTTTCAATGTTCTTTTCCATTCCTTCATTCCCTGCTAGCCACGGTTTAGGGTTTAGGGTGTTAGGGGTTAAGGGTTTAGGGTTATATAACCCCTTTATGAGCCCCAATTTCCATATTGTCTTCCATGTCCAGGAGCAATATCGTTAAACTCTAAATCACTCTAAATCGTAGCCTCTCTTTTCTTGTCCATTCCCCTCCCCTATCTTAATGACCCTATCTACCCCTACCATGTTTCTTTTAACCCTGTAGCACATGCCCTAAACCCTAGACCCCTAGAACCCCTGAGCTTTGGCAGGCTGGCATGCTTCTCATTCCCTCCGCACTTAGCATCCTCGGCGGCCTCGCTGAGTCTTTGTGACTCGCCTCTGAGAGTTAGGGGCTTCGGGGTAGTATGGTGATCGTGAAAACAACATCAACGGTGACGGGCTATTAGCAAGCAACAGCAGCAGGCCTTGGCAGTAGCAGTAGCGGTAGCGGTAGCAGTAGCAGCAGCAGCAGCAGCGGCAGCAGCAGCAGCGGCAGCAGCAGCAGGAGGAGGAGTAGTAGTAGTAGCATCAGCAGCGGCGGTGCGAGTTGCCTTCCTGAAGCTTTGCAAGTTGGTGGTGTTTGATTTGTTGTTCTTTGAGGAGAGCAACAGTTGATGTCAGGATTTTGTCTCTCCACTGCTTCAGGTCGGGGAGCACTGCCACAGCACACACATGACAGCTCACGCGTAACATGCCTAGGACCTTAGGATTCCGACCCTATGTCAAGGCCTTGGAAGCCCGAAAGCTTTTGAAGCCTCCAGCCCATGCGTTTCCCACTGCGACTTCTGCAGACACTACTCCTCTTCCTAGTCCTACTTATGCAATCCCACCTCTCCTTCTACTAGCACTACCAGAGCGAGCACGTCTCTAGCGGTCAGCATCGCTTGAGCACTGCTTTTGAAACTACTGCTGCTATTGTTAGTCCTGGCCACCACCAAAACCACCATAATGCGATAATGGTATACGCACAAAGGTACAATGTCAAGGCACTCTTCCCGGGCCATCAGGAGGCTGGTGTGCAATGGAGTCTGTCAAGCTTCGGGGTTCCCTTTTGGAGATCGGAAATATCTACGGTGAATCCGAGTGGTTCTCAAAATCACGGGTCACCCTTTCGCGGGGATCCGTGTGGCAAGATATCTGGCAGGTTGGGAGTAAGATCGTACTTGAGTCATTTGCCGCATATAGTGAGTCAGATGGAACCAGCCCGCATATTCGGCCACTTCATTCTTTGAGTTTGCTTCGGAACCCAGAAAACGTCCAAATAATTCAATCTCCCTCTAGAAACTAAACCCTAAACTGCAAACCCTGAACAAAAAACTGTTCGAAGCCCATACTCCAGCTCAATGCGTGTCCTGCTGGGGGCGAAGGTGCCCTGGATCTTGGTGCTGACCTCTTTCCAGGCCCTGCCCATTTACGCTGCCATGTTGTAGCTGTGGCTGTTCGTAGCAAAGCTTTGTAGACTGTACTCGTATAAGGTTTATGCCGGATCGATATAAGGATTTTACAGGGATTATTTTGGGTCTACATGGGGGGATTGTATTGGGGGTATAGCTTGAAACTGTATTGCCACAGGCAAAGACGCTCCTAGTAAAGACCGCACAGGGTTACACTTTCAGTTTATGGTGTACGCTTCGAGGCGATCACTGTGGCTACAGCCTAAACTGCTTCAAATGATTTGCCGCGCATGAAGTCACACAATCCTCTTAGCCCAAACTTTCAATCATCCCCAGGTACACACAGCCCTCTAAGCCCAAACTTTCAACAATTCCTAGTCTGGGTACGAGTTGTTGAGTGATCTAAGGGCAGTCATCCAACAGCTTATGGGGAACGCCATGCTGACGGTGAGCTGCATCAGCTACTTTCACAGCAAGATGGATTTGTGTCAAAGCCGGTTGCCTTTGTGGCTTATGCTGTGATACAACGGTGCTGAAGTAGCAACTTTAGCAGAAATAGAAATCATAACAATATTGTTCCCCACCCTCACAGTGGG